AAAGGATTGCAGACAATTCATGAACTTGTTTGTAAATAAAATATATATTTTTTTACACTTTCAAAATACAGCACAGTAAATGCAAATGTTATTTTCACAAACATTATACATAGGCCTACACTATACCTGTATTAACGTCTACAGTTCAGCAGTTGCAAGGTACAGTGAGTTAATATTGTTTGGTATTGGGATGTGGCGATTAACATTTATGTAAACATCAATCCCAAGTTTTAAAATAAAAATAAGCACATTACACCTGTACTGACATTTCTTATTTTTGAAGTTGATAAACGGCATTGATATTGCTTGATTGGGTCAAGTGTCCTATTATTATTTATATATTTAAATCATATTATAAACGATAATTAAAATATGTGTAACATTACTGAAATTATATATCAAATAACAATATAAATTATCGATGAATTTGTGACTGCTGGGCCTTTAGGCAACCTGTATAATTTCTTCTCTCTGTAACTGAAGAGCAATCAAGAACAAAGCACTGGACCATTTTCTGAACACTGTACCTTAACTGACTGCCAACTCTATGTGGAGAAAAAAGAATTATAAAAGGACTACTTTAATAACTAAGCCTAATTAATGAACAGTGGGCTAGCATCGCACCGCCACCCGAACTGGGATGCTCAGTGAAATACAGGTCTCTTCAAACGGGGCCTAGCCTAGATTTTGACTGGAATAGAGTTAAGAATGGCGTGGTATTTAGCATTTATGCAAACTTGAAAATCACTTAATATAACAACAATAAATCACATAATAACTAAGTTTAAAAATAATATTAACTCGTGGATATCGTATCGTACATGTCTTTTACAGACATGATTTAAACTACGGCGGTGTACCGACGCCTAGGCCTACGATCGGAAGATTTTAAAATGCTAAATTTTATAACTTATGATTCGAAAATAAAGGTGAACTTACGATAGGCCTATATGATAAATAGATTATTTATTTTCAGTGCCTTTCCGGAATTAAATGGGGAAATGCAATATAAGTTACAGAAATGCGTTAAACTTGCCGGTTTACCACAGAATTGGGAACATCGGCGATCGCCCAAAAATGTCAGATGGGGACCGTTGGACGATCGTCGATGCCACCTTCACCCAGACCTAGGATGTTGACAACCAATTGGGGATGTGACGTAAATCTATTTCCGGTCGCCTCGAAAGCGGTAGCGAACGCAGTTTGACCATTTTTTTTATCTAACACAATCTCGCTCACGACCCAGCATCTCAACCGCTCGCGATCGATGGAGACATGTGAACGAGACTTTAAAAGGGCACTCAGGCGGGTTGGTGAACCAGGTTTTGCCAGAATCTTATCTCAATAATCCAATTAAAGATCAAAGAAGAATACCTCTACTTAAGAGTCATTATCACAGCAGGCATTGCTGTTTCTCAATAAATTACCAGTTTAGTATTTAAAAACCAGGCTGGAAAATTTTAAAAACCTGTTGTTCAAAGAATTTGGCATTTTTATTACCTTAGCTATTATTTCAGATAAAAATCATAATAGATATGCTTTTGAATTTTAAAAATCAATGACTTATGTCAAGTTACAACATTGTTTTTGATTTAATTGTGCTAGTCTTCTTAAGAACTATCCACAACTAATGAGCTTCACTGTTACTCTTGTTACAAAATACCCTGAAGCAGTAATTAATAGAGATAAGAAGAGATCGGCAAAACCTGGTTCAAAAATTGAAAATTTGGTAAGTGGTGAAGTTTCCTCATGTTTATCTTTCTTTCTATTTCTATATAAAACATTTCTCACAAATATCTTGCTAGATTCCATTTTTTTAAACATTTCTTACAAGCAAGTATGCAGTGTAATAATTTAAAATTAAATTGGCAAATTTTGTTAAGTGTTTCAAACAATATACTTTATAATGCCATGTTTTTTCCTTCATTTGTATTAAGTAATGTTTTCACAATCTGAAGAGATTATGCAACCCATCAACATTTTTCTATGACCATTTGTGGGAATGGTGATTTATTTTATATACCATAGGATCTATGTTTGTTTTTTACATACCAATTAATCTGAGGCTTATTATGTAGTAAGTAGGCCTTTCTACTAAAGGTAAGGGGCAGAATGAGCTGTTTGAGAGCCAACTGTCGATAGCATCATTTTTGTGAAGCTCTATTTTCTGTTGCCAAAGGGTTTTTTTTTTTTCTTTGCAGTTTATTTTGTGGGAAAGTAAACTACGGGAAAGCTTTTCCTGTGTAGCATAAAGCAGTAATTCTAGTTTGGTTTATGCTGCATTCAAGTATGATGTGGTAGCATACAAACAATAGGCAAAATTAAAAAGCAAAAAAGGCTCCTTGTGACGAATCACCCCTTGTGACTGCCAATCATTGAGTGAAAGGTTGTACTACTTGATATGATAATGCATAAAATGCACGTTTTTGTTCATATTTTTAGGCAAGTTATTGGAGTAACCGGAGACATGAGGTGAATGGTTATGTGATGAATGAGAATGGCGAAGTGGTGCATGAAATATTTGGCAAATGGAATGAGGGAATCTACTGTGGCCAATCCTCATCAGCCAAATGCATATGGAGAACAGGTAACTGGCAAAGAAATACTTCAAGCATGTACCATATTGACATGGGTGTAAGCCTACACCCAAACTTTTATTAGTACCAGTTGTACGTAGACCAAGGAGACAGATACTGGCATTAAAGAAGCGGATACTGTAGTTGAAAAATTAGCTGAAATGGAACAAAAAAGATGGACATGTTATCATAAAGATATCCAAATAATGCTTGGGTCAGTTCAGTGGTAGATGTATTGTATTGAAAGTTGCAAAGCAAATGATATGCTCAGACTCTAACGATTTAAAGGCTTAAAAGCGGAGTCTGAAAATATATTTCAAAAAATAATGGACAACATGCTAAGTGGGCATAGAACTAGAGCTGTAGTAGTAGATATCCATGTAGCTGAAGAACACAACAATGACTCAATAGTGAAGAAAGTAGTTAATACTGTAGAAGTTAATAGAAATAAAATGCTTGAAATAGGTAACATAATTCCAAGTTGCCAGTACTGCAAGCCTAGTAACAGTGAATTATTAAGAAATGTTTCCGCAAGTAGGTTCCCACGATAATATTGGGAGAAGCAGACACAAGATTAGCCACTTTCTTAGTTTGATTCTTTGTACACTTTCAATTCAGGAATGTAGATGCACTATTGCATGCTGCTAGGATCAGAATAGTTGAGAATAGCCGACTGGCTTGTTCGGTAGTCTACAAATATGTGCGATGCCTTCAGTGATAGTGGAGTTGTTTGGCTATTATTATAGCAAAGTGTTGATTTCTTGTATAAATTATGTTTATGTGTCATTTTCAGTGGCAGACCGTCAAGGCAAGCAAGGAATGCAGTGCATACCATGAATAAAAAATTTTTTTAATCCGTTTTATTTAGCATTTCTTAATCATAATCTTCTATATAAACGTTAATTTTTTGATTGGATTGCTACAGATCATTGGAAAAGCAAAGTTTTTCAATGTTATAGCCTACTTTGGTATCTAGGATAAGTCACAGTCAGGCCTATCACGTCGTACTCTCAGCTGCTTAGAATTTGTCAAACGTGGCCAAAATGTTCCTTGACCAAAGATCTGGAAGTGATTAAATTTTGAAGGGTCAGGATCAAAGGTCAAGGACACAATGTTTGAAAAACTTGTATAACTGTATGGCGTATAGATGGGTATGTGTGCTTATTACTGGTGTAATATGATGGCGCTATACTGATTTGCATGACACCTGTGTTGTGGTATATAGCGTATGCGGATTCGTTTAAATTGTTTCAACAACGTATGGAATTGTATTTTCAAGTAAAAGGTACTGCTGTAACACAACACGTCCCTTTAATTTTGCTTGCTGTAGACAAAGAAGGTCTTCGACGATATAATACTTGGACATTGACTGAGGATCAACGTAAGCAACCAAGTACTATTTTTAAAATGTTTCTTGAGCAGTTAGAGCCATCAGAAAATGTTCAAATTTGTCGTTTGAAATGAAGGAAGTACTCACAAAAACAAGGAGAGTCTTTGGATGAATTTATCAATAGATGCAAATTACTTGCACTTAAATGTGATTTCACTGATGATGAAATAAATGAGCGTTTACTTGAGCAAATCATTGCCCATACCAGAATTGCAAAAGGAGTTAATGAATAAACCAAAAGGATTTGATGTTCAAGATGCGCTTAAGCTTGGTCGAAGCTATGAAGCTTCTGCTGCACATGTACAAGAACTACATACAATGCACGACCAAGGACAAGCTACAAATGTATCATTACTTGCTTTCCAGAAATCTAAATTTAAGAATTGTGGGAGAGAGACCATCGTTTAGGGAAGCAAAATTGTCCTTCACGTGACGATGTATGTAAAGCTTGTGGTAAGAACGGCCATTGGGCAAAGTATTGTTTAACTACTAAATATAGAGTTAACCGTAGTCAATCTAGAACAAGAGCAAAACATACAGGAATCCAACACTATCGTCAGAGAGGCGGATATCATTGTGAACGTTCTAAAAGTGGCGATAAAAACGTACATTGCTTCTTAAAACAGTATGAACAGACACAATCTGATAACTTGAATTCGCAATTTGAATCGTTTTCGTTTTTCTCAATAAAGGCGTCAGATTTCTGTTTTCAAGAAAGGCTCAAGCCATCCAATCGAAATGAGGCTTTCGCAAAACTCAAAATTAAAGTTGACATCAGACCAGGAATTCACAGTCTGCAAATCAAGGTTGACACTGGGCCCAAGCTAATACACTTCCACTTAGAATTTACCGTCATATGTTTCCTCAAAATTTGAATTGAGATGGTAACCCAAAATTAAATGTATTGCAAGCTACAAACAGTATTTTAACAGCATATAATGATACCAGAATAAAGTGTTTGGGTACAATCAATATTGATTGCTGTTTTGAGAGTTCGACATGGTTGGAAACAAAATTTGTTGTTGTTGATTTTCCAGGGCCAGCTGTAATTGGTATCTCTTCATGTGAAGAACTTGGTATTGTGACACTTCACTGCAATATTAACAGCAAACCCCACACTATTGATAACATTGAAGAACTTGTTAAACAATACCCCAACCAGTTTGACCGGATTGGCGAGTTCAAAACTGTACATAAGCTAGTAGTTGACCCAAATGTTCCTAGCCATATTGATGCACCTAGGCGAACACCTATTGCTTTGAAAGATATGATAAAGGCTGAGCTTACAAAAATGGAGCAATTAAATGTTATAAAGCGAATTGAAGAACCAACAGAGTGGGTGAGCTTGTTAACTTATGTAACAAAGAAAGATGGAAGTTCGTGTTTGTTTGGATCCCAAGTTTTTAAACGTGGCACTTGTTCGCCCGCAACACCGTATTCTAACGCTTGAAGATATAAATCATAGGTTTACTAATGCTAAGTTTTTTTCAAAGCTTGATGCCAAAGCCGGCTATTGGTCGGTAAAGCTGGATCATGATAGCCAAAAGTTTACCACTTTCAGTCAAGATATTTTTCAACTCGAGATGGATCGGATCATTCAAAACTGTGAAGGTGTATGTGGAATTGCAGACGACATAACAGTTTTTGGTTCTAGCGAAGAAGAACATGATCGTAACCTTATTAATTTTATGGAAGTCGCAAAGCAATCTGGCCTCGTATTAAACTCAGCAAAATGTCACATTAAACAAAAGGAAATATTTTTCTTTGGCAACGTACACACTGATAAGGGAATTAAGCCAGACCCTAAAAAAGTTCAAGATTTGAATGCAATGCCTGAGCCAACAAACAAAACAGAACTTCAACAGTTTCTGGGTATGATGACTTATCTATGAAGTTACATCAAAGATTTCAGCACAAAAACCTCGGTGCTGAGAAACCTACTTAAAAAGGATGTTGTTTTTCTTTGGGAAGCACATCACAGAAAAGTGTTTGAAGCTTTGAAATGCGAAGTTTCCGAATCAACATTACTGCAATATATGACACAAACAAACCTGTCATTCTTCAGTGCAACGCAAGCCTGTGCAGTTTTGGTGCAACACTCCCACAAACTGACAGCAATAATCAGCTTAAACCAATTGCATATGCAAGCAAAAGTCTGACTGATACTGAACAGCGGTATGCCTGCATTAAAAGAGAACTTTTGTCAATTGTTTTTGGGTACAACGTTTTCATATGTTTTTATTTGGACGAAGTTTTCATGTTGTAACTGACCATAAACCACTGATAATGATTGTTAACAAACCATTAACATCTGCTTCTCCTAGAGTACAGCGAATGTTGATTAAATTGCAAGGGTATAACTTCACCATAGAACATGTACCAGGAGCCAACAACCAACTTGCCGATGGATTATCACGTCTCCCTAGTCAACATAACAATGAAATTATTGATCTTGATGTACGTGTTGATCTTGTTCGTTTCTCCACAGAAACGGCAGCGCATCTTAGACAGAAAACTAGCACCGACCCAGTTCTGAACCAACTTAAAGAAATCATCATCAATGGTTGGCCAGACAGCATCAAAGAGTTATCGACAGATATTCGACCTTATTGGAGTTTTAGAGACGATGTCTATCGACAACGGTTTTGTGCTGAAAGGTCAGAGAATCGTGATACCTAGAAGTATAAGAGACAATATTTTGCAACAGTTACACACTGCTCACCTTTGTCAAGAAAAAACAAAATTGCTTGCCAGGGACACAGTATTTTGGCCAAATATTAATAAAGAAATTGATCAATTAGTTAAATTATGTTCAATTTGTCAAGAACATCAATCATCACAAATGTCTGAGCCTCTTCTTCAACATGAAATACCAACGAAACCATGGAATGTACTTGGAGTTGACTTGTTTGAGTTCAATGATTAATAATGGTTAGTTATAACGGATTATTACTCAAAGTACTGTACCCGATTGTTCGTAAATTACCAGAAATCCAGGTACCAAATGTTGGGAGCCTGCTGTTGTACAATGTAAAGCTGACAAGCCTAGATCCAGAGGTGGCGCCAGAGGGGCTGGGGGGCTAAGCACCCCCGTCGGGCCACCCCTGCCTAGATCATTCTTTGTACAGAGTCCTAACGGTAGAATCATCAGAAGGAATAGACATCACATCCAGGAAGTACCACTTGGAAAACCAATGAAACCAATGGAGAGTGAATGTAATCTTGTACAAAACAATTTTTCTAATGATGTTTTTACTTCGCAAACACCAGTTAAGAAATGTGTAACATTTGCCAAACCAGTAGCATCGAGTGAACCTGTTATTCGCACCAGATCTGGACGTTAAGTTAGAAAACCTGATCGATTTGAGCCATAACAACTTTAACTTAACCATAACGATACAATAACTGAATAATATGAGTTGTAAATTTTACTTGGATAAGCATTTTCTAATTTAATGAATATATATTTTTTGAAATTTGTTTTATATGTTCTTAGTGTCACGTTTATGCAATATTTTGTAAAACAAAAGGTTAAAAAAAAAGTTGTATTGTAGTCTTATGTCATAAGGTAAAAACAAAATATAGTAAACGTGTACAGTATATATATATATATATATATATTTTTTTTTTTTTTCGTTGTAAGGGGGATGTAATATGATGGCGCTATACTGATTTGCATGACACCTGTGTTGTGGTATATAGCGTATGTGAAAAAAGGCTCGCTCTCTCATACGGAACGTATAGTTGTGTGGTTATGTCTGTTGTCTACAACACAAGCTCTTTACAAGGCTCACATGACCATTAATTTCAAAGTGATATGTGAAAACAGTTTGGTATGGTGGTTTCCACACTACTAGCCCCGGATTCAAATCCCAAGGAGTCTACTTGTTTTATTTTTTTCATTATTTTTAGTTCCTATGCATACAATGCAATAGGGACTCTTGCAATCACATATTTTTGCGTGTGTGTGAGTGAAATTGCGCATGCGTCAGAAATGTTTTCCATCATTTTGTTTTTACCTCGCGACGCGATGTTCCTCAGTGGTGGTTCAGTCACCTTTTTCCGGGTTTTTGCTTTTGATTAGCACCCTCAGTTGCTTGATATGATTAAAAATAATAAGAACCCACCCTAACCTAATATGGTAAAAACACTTCCTAATAAGTCAAGTTTGCAATCCACTCAGTTTCTTTCTGAAACCCGACACAACACAAAGCCTAGTTTTAGTTTTCTGACATTTTGTTTGTACCTTGCAACGTGACGACCTTCATTGGTTAAGTTTGAGCTCATGCTATTTCGATCACCACTGATTGACAACGTGAATTCTTCAGTGTCGTTCAGTTTGAGTTCACGCTATTTCGCCATAGGCAAAATCCACTCAGTTTCTTTCAGAAACCCGACATAACACAAAGCCTAGGCTTGTTTTTACCCAGTCACATGACTCTTGCAATCACATTTTGCATGTGTGTGTGTGTACATTTAGAGTGAAATTGTGCATGCGTCAGAAAATGTTTTACGACATTTTGTTTTTACCTCGTGGCGTGAAGTTCCTCAGTGGTGGTTCAGTCACCTTCTTCCAGGTTTTTGCTTTTGATTAGTTGCCCCAGTTGCGCCACATGTCATAAGGTCAATCTAGACAACTTTTCACCTGCGAGATGAGACAACAGGCTAGGCTGCTGGAGGCGTGTACAATAGCACCTCCTGCTGGGGGTATTCATTTTCCCAATATTCAAATGCAAAGAATTAACTTTTCAAGGTAAACCACCACAACACAAAATCCACCCAACCTTATATTGCCTGAAAATGAAACATGCATCATGCATAGGAACGTTGACGCCCGCAGGGCTCTAGTTTTTTTATGGGGACAATAAGCGGGGAAAATTTATACGGAGGATGATTATGATGTGGGCGGAGGTATGCACTCTCCGAGTGCCCTCTAGTTATTGTTATTTTGACTAATGCTATTTTTTAAAATATAAATATATCACTAGGTTGTATGCCTGAGGACCATCAGCTTTTCTATGGTATGACAAGATTTGCAATTGAACTGAATGAGCTAGATGCTCATACTCGCCCACTACTACCCATCACTGATGCTCGCTTTAGACCTGATCAAAGGTTAGTGACAATATTATTATTTGTGTTTTAAATTTTTGTATGTATATTAATCGTTGTATTAATACATCCCTGTATTTTGAAAACAACATCACTAGTCATTGACATAATGATATATTTCATTTAAAATTTATTTCATGTTAAAATATATACAAAGACAACCAACACATCAAAGGTACAAGAATTAAAACAAAGAGAGTGGTGCTAACCCTGGATTACAATATGTACAGAAAAATGCAATATCATAGGGCTCTCCAAAGCAAATTTCCATCAGTGGCGCTACCATCCTCAAGCTTGGGACCCTGCTCCATAAAGAACAAAATAAGGTAAGTATAACAATGCGACTAGATTGAAATAAAGGTAGATCTATATAAAATATTGTTTTATATGTCTATAATATTATATAATACTAAAGTATAAAATAGTCAAATTGAAAATTATTCACACAAACAGATATCATTGTGATGGATGAAAATTTCTAGACAGAGAGAATTGTCATCTGAGTTCCACAAACTCAAGATGGAAGAGCCTACCCAAATGTGTATGAGCATAATTATGCAGTTGCTCATCTTCATGCCAGTCAGGTCAAAGATCGAATAATATAAATTACCAAGTCCTTTCTCATTTCTCTAATGTGACAACTTTACCGCTGATTTTTGTTGACATTTTTCAGACAGGCAAGGCAAGAGTTGTACGTTTGTGCGTAGCGCAATGCTAGGGCCGTAGGCTCGAGCCAGGGGAGGGTATGCATGATTAACTTTAACACAGATTTTCCATAAGGATAACAACATCCAGTAAGATAATATAAAGAATTGTGGCTATCTGGCGATCAGTAACTATATAAGGAGAGCAGGGTAATAAATATTTATGAAAGGTGATATTAAGTATGAATTGTTCTTATATAAGCACAGTGTCCAGTTAATTTTATCGTAAACAGTCATGCGATACGGACTCAATCATAATCCTTTAACCCTCTAGATACCGTCTTCGACTGTAGTCGAAATTGACCTCAAACCAAGAATTCCCATTTTCGACTGCAATCGAAATTTCGTGACTAAAAAATAGGTGGTTTTCAAATCGCTCTTCTGTTTTTATTTTAGCTCCAATACGTCAGAAATTTTAAACACGCATGCGTGAAGCTTTTGTTTTTCGAAATCTGTGAAGAACTCACATGCGCTTATATAAAAATGTTTAGAAATATCAATTTGAAATCGTTATTAATTTCGAAAATTTTTCGAAATGGCCGCACAAGATGTGTACACAGCTGAGCAAGCGATTGACCTGATTTTTGATTCAGACAGCGATGAAGGTGAATTTTTAGATGTGCGAGAGACTTAGACGTGCCTGTTAGTGATGATGACGGTGGGGCTTCAAGCAGTTCTGACGGCGGAGATATTCTTGATGAAGATGAGCCTAGGCCTAGAAATGTGAGGGTAGTCGACGCTTTTGAATGGAAAGATCGCGCTTATAATTATGGATGGTTGGGTACATAAATTATATAACTGTGTGGAATAGGAATGTTTTATATTTGTTTTAATTTTTTTTTGGCTATAATTTTTTTTTTTTTTCGGTTTTTGCTGACGATTTATATGTAGCATTTTTCTGTCATTCTATTATATTATATATTATATTATATTATATTATATTATGAAAAAAAATTCCCAAAAATATAAATTATACATCAAATGAAAGCTTATTCTATAAGCTTTCTTTGTTTTTAGAAATATTTTTCTGTATAATTTACAGAAAGTTCCCAAAAATCCACCAGAACGACGTATACTCATAAAAAGCATAAAACCTTGTTACACTGCAAAAGAATCCGGTATTCAAGGGTTTGCACTACAAAAGAATCCGGTATCCAGAGGGTTAAGTAACTGGGTTCTCTAACAGTTCATTTGGTTGTTCTGGTTGATTGCTGATTTTGAGTTCTCGTCTTATGTTGTATGGTATTCTTATTCATTGTTTGGTTCATTCGTTGAGGTTGTGGGTTAACTTGGATTGTGTTCTTGTTTGTCTTTTCTTTCTGTTTATTGGTTGGTGGTACTTTCCGCAAGAAATGACGGTTACGGCGCAGTGTCCATCCTACCTGAATAACAACATTGTATGAACGTTTGTTCACTTGTGCTGTTATTAGCCTTATGCCATTTGGTGTTGCCTGGATCATTTGGCTGTACACGAACGGTATCACCTAAATGTAGTGGTTTTAACTGTGGTCTGTTGCTGTGTTTTGTTGTTAAAGTTGACGCTTGCCATGCAGTCTATCAGTGTCGTTGTTGATGTCATAATTTGGTGTAAGAGTTTTGGAGGTGGTGGGAAGTATGGTCTTTCTTTTCCTTCCCATTAATCTCTTGGTGGGTGTTGTCGTCATACCCTCCATTTGTGTATTTCTGATGTTCAATAATCCAATGTATGGGTCTTCACCGGCATTGGCGCATTTCTTCATGAGTTGTCTAGCTACTTTGACAGCAGCCTCTGCTGCCCCATTGGATTGACTAGACATGACATGCTGGAATCCCCATGTATTAAAACTTCGAATTTGGTTGATGAGAACTGAGGTCCTCCATCGCTTACCACATGATTTGGAATTCCATGACATGCAAAGTGGTGTTTCAACTTGGTGATAACCATTACATGCAAAGTGGTGTTTCAACTTGGTGATAACAGTCGATGAAAATGTGTCTGCTAAGTAATCAACCTCAAAGAAGGTACTGGAGCAATCCACTGTAACAAGATAATTTCTATCATTTATGACAAACAGATCAACTGCTAGTCGCTCCTGTGGTCGTGTGGATAGAGGATAACCGGTTCTTTGGGTTGTTTGTTGTTTCTATGTTGTGCACATATCTCACAGATATGTATCGCATCACTGTTTACGATAAAATTAAAATTAGGTTTCAACAAATTGTCTGATCTCTTTACTCATACCAGGCCAAAAAACTAAATTTCAAGCTCTTCTCAGACAGGCGTTAATTCCCATATGCCCGGCATGGACATTGACATTTCCTTTCACATAATTGTTGGTATGATAATCCGTTCACCTCACATGAGAATGTCGTTCTGTAGGAACACCTCATCTCTGTGATTGAAATATGGAATTAATCTGGAATCCAGCAGGCCTTTATCATTAGGTCAACCTTTTTTGACTACTTGGCTGAGCAGACACAGCGTTTGTTCTTTAGAAGTTGCCTTTCGTATTTCATCCAGACATCTCTGGTTTTACTGTAGTGATAATGTCAAAAGTGGTGTTTCAACGTCAAATGGTATAACAAGCCTCTTTACTTGTCAAGTTGGTCTTAGGCAGGGGTGTATTCTATCCCCTTTCCTATTTGCATTTTTTATCAATGACCTGCACTTGAGATTTCTAAAAACAATACATTTGATAGCTGTTCACTTGGAATGGTAAACCTTTTCTACCTATTATTTGCGGACGATCTTGTATTCATGTCAGAGTCCAAAAACTACTTAATGAACAAGCAAATTATTGCAACAAATTTAATGTTAAGTAAACCAGAAGAAAACTAAAATAGTGGTATTTAGAAGTGGTGGTATTTTAATAAATTAAGAAAAGTGGTGGTACAACAATATCCAAATTGAAGTTGTTCCATATTTTAAATATCTAGGAATTACACTGTCCTCCAGAGGAATATGGTCAAAAACCCAATCCGTTCTTGCCGAGCAAGCTACCAAAGCAACTTTTTCTATCATTTCTAGTTTAAGATCCTTGCCTGAATTAAGTATTGACATTTGTTTAAAGGTATTTGACGTAAAAGTAATGCCTATTCTTAATTATTGTTGTGAGGTGTGATGCTGTATTAAAGGAGGTGATTTGGAATATGTTCAAAATAAATTTTGTAAATTCATATTAAATCAGAAAAATAACTCCATTAATTTGGCTGTAAGAGGCGAGTTAGGAAGATATAGTGTACGAGCCAGTAGAATACATAAACTAGGTATTGGTTACGTATTCTAAAAATCGATAGAAATAGACTAATTTATAACTATGTATAGAACAATTGCGATTTGTTGATAATGATAAAAACTGTTTAGCAGTTCGTTCACTTCTATTCCATTATGGGTTCGGGGAAGCATGGCTTAACCATGGTGTTGGTGGTGATGTTTGCTTTTTAAGTCTCGTTAAACAACATTCTTTAAATATTGACCAACAAGAATGGGAGTCACAAGTTAACGAGTCAAATAGGCTAAAAAGTTACTGTTCATTCAAATATTATATTGCTTTTGAAAACTACCTTTTTTCTAATTTAAATCCATATTTCAAAAAGATCTTTACATCGTTCCGCATTTCTAGCCACAACTTAAAATTTGAGGAAGGTAGAAAGTTAGATATTAACTTCGAGCATAGAATTGGCTTTTGTAAGGGGAATATTGAAGATGAATTACGTTTTCTTCTCAAATGTAAATTATACAGTGATTTAAGAGAAAAATACATTCCACGATATAATGTTCGTTTCCCTACACAATATAACTTTATTTCCTTAATGAGCTCGCACAGTCCACTAATAATACAAAAAATATGCATTTATTTACACCATGCATTTAAGAGGAGAACGGAGATAGATATCCTTTTACAACTAACTATTTGATTTTCCACATTGTTCGCTATTATTTTATGATTCTTTATGTATTCAAAGGGCCAATGGCCTAAAGTTGATGAATAAATTGATTGAAAGATTGCTCATAGCAAACACGGTATCTTCAGTGCTTTGTAATAGTGCTCTTGACAATGCATCATATATCATCATCTTAGCGCCCTGTACAAATTTTTGTCATGTTCCTCTTTCGTTGATCCATGAATAACCACATCATCCGCAACACATACAACTCCATTCAAGTCATAAAGTGCTTCAAGTGACTTCCTCTGGAACATCTCAGTCAATACAGACAGGCCAAATGGCAATCGGTTCCATTTATAATGGCCACAAGGAGTCTGAAACGTTGTAAGGAAACTGGACTCCTCCACTTTGCTGAAAATCGTTGACTGACCT